GTTAAATTCCCAACAACTGGTATCAGAGCGTGAAACGATCTAGAGGAAGTCAGATTCAAGTGGGAGCCATGGCCGCAGATGAAGGAAAGGTGAGATTAGAGAAGTTTGATGGACCAGATTTTAGATTCTGGAAAATACAGATAGAGGATTATCTGTATCAGAAAAATCTGTATCAACCTTTCTCGGGGAAGAAGCCGGAGGGTATGAAGGAAGAAGATTGGAATCTTCTGGACAGAAAAGCCCTCGGGGTTATTCGTTTGACGTTAACCCGCAATGTTTCTTTTAACATTGCAAAGGAAAAGACCACGGCAGGTCTTATGGCAGCACTCTCAAATATGTATGAGAAGCCATCAGCCTCAAATAAAGTCCATTTGATGAGGCGGTTGTTCAATCTGCGAATGGCGGAAGGGATCGGGAGCACACATCATCTCAATGAACTCAATACAGTCACGACCCAATTGAGTTCAGTTGATATTGAGTTTGATGAGGAAGTTCGAGCGTTGATCCTTTTGTCTTCCCTACCAGAGAGTTGGAACGCTACGGTCACAGCTGTGAGTAGCTCATCGGGAAGCAATAAGTTGAAGTTTGACGACGTTCGTGATCTGGTTCTCAGTGAGGAGATCCGACGGAGAGAGTCGGGTGAAGCTACAACCTCTTCAGTATTACGTACAGAGTCAAGAGATAAAAGTTCAACCAGAGGAAATGGATCAGATGATAGGAGATCCAAATCCAGAAATCCCAACAGCTCGAAGGCTATCGAGTGTTGGAAGTGCGGGAAAACCGGGCACTACAAGAATTAGTGCAGGAGTGCACGGGAGGAGTGGGAGGCAAATGCAGATGTGAACGTTGCCTCCACCTCAGGAGGAGATGATGCGCTGATATGCTCTTTGGAGAGCAAGGAGGAGTCTTGGGTGTTGGACTCGGGAGCATCATTCCATGCTACTTCTCAGAAAGAATTCCTCGAGAAGTATATCCCCGGAAACCTTGGAAATGTATATCTTAGTGACGATCAAGCATGTGCCATTATTGGCAAATGTGTAGTGAAGATTAAGCTGAATGGGTCAGTATGGGAGCTGAAGGATGTCAGGTATATTCCCGACCTGAAGAGGAACTTAATCTCAGTAAGCCAGCTGGCTAGTGAAGGTTACATGACGACTTTCCATGGCGATGACTGGAGGATTTTGAAGGGTGCAATGACGATTGCCAGAGGCAGGAAGACTGGTACCCTGTATATGATAGCGGGTGCACGTTGTTCGATCTCAGTTGCAGCAGGCAATGAGACTTCAAAGCTATGGCACCAGAGACTCGGTCATATGAGTGAAAAGGGGATGAAGATTATGCACACAAAGAAAAAACTCCCAGGTTTACAATCAGTAGAGATTGATGTGTGTGAAGAATGCATACTTGGAAAGCAGAAGAGAGTTAGCTTTCAGACAAGTTGCAGACCCCCCAGGAAGCAGAAGCTAGAGCTTGTTCACTCGGATGTTTGGGGACCAACAACCACCGCGTCGATTGGTGGGAAACACTACTTCGTGACTTTTATTGATGATCACTCTCGGAAAGTATGGGTCTACTTTCTGAAGAAAAAGTCAGAAGTGTTTGAGGCTTTCAGAAGATGGAAAGCCATGGTCGAGAATGAGACCGGTTTGAGGGTAAAGAAACTCAAAACAGACAATGGTGGTGAGTATGAAAACACCAGATTCAAGAAGTTCTGCTATGAGCACGGTATCAGAATGGAGAGGACCGTGCCCGACACACCTCAGCACAATGGTGTGGCTGAGCGCATGAATAGGACGTTGACAGAGAGAGCCAGAAGTGTTCGGATGCAGTCAGGTCTACCGAAGCAGTTCTGGGCAGAAGCAGTCAACACAGCAGCTTACTTGATCAACCGAGGTCCATCGGTTCCATTGGAGCACAGAATACCAGATGAGGTATGGTGCGGAAAGGAGGTAACCCTCTCACATCTCAAAGTTTTCGGTTGTGTAGCTTATGTGCATATAAGTGATCAAGGCAGGAATGAGCCTGATCCCAAGTCTAAGAAATGCACATTCATCGGGTATGGTGAAGACGAGTTCGGCTACCGCATTTGGGACAACGAAAACAAGAAGGTGATCAAGAGTAGAGATGTGATATTCAACGAGAAGGTGATGTATAAGGACATGCACAAGACAGATTCCAGTGACTCAGAGAGCGAGTCAACATTTGTAGATGCAGATGATGTCCCAGATAACCTCTCTGAAAAACCCAATGCAGAAGGTTCTCAGCCAGAAGAGCCTGTTGGACAGAACAGTGCGCAGGAGCCCGACGCACCAGCTCCGATATTGAGGAGAACTACTCGTCCTCCTATGCCCAACAGCAGATACATGAATTATATGTTGCTGACAAATGGAGGAGAGTCTGAAAGCTTTGATGAAGCTTGTCAGAGTGGAGATGCGAGCAAGTGGGAGCTTGCTGCGAAAGAAGAGATGAAATCTCTGATCTCCAATCAGACATGGGAACTAGCTAAGTTGCCCATGGGGAAGAAGGCATGTCACAACAAGTGGGTGTATCGAGTGAAAAAAAAACAGGGTGGTTCCAGAAGATACAGAGCCCGACGAGTTGTCAAAGGATTTTAACAGAATATCCAAGGAAGAAAGTATCCAGCGGATATGTTGACAGAGGTAGTGACCTCTCAGAAACTGGAGTTGTGCGCAACTTCAGTTGGCCTTCATGCATAGATGATGAGGGCGGAGCCACACATGAGAGGAGCTTGATGAGATAGCCCGTTGACAACGGTTTGATCTCTAAGTGGGAGATTGTTAGAAAGAGGTGTAGATCAAACCTCAATTCCAGCGAGGAGCTCCGGCGAAGCTCCGACGAGCTTGAGGACCATGCAGGCGAGCGTGGACGTCGACTCAGGCGAAGTCGATGGCGAACTGCAGGCGCAGTTTCAGGTGGAGCTCGAGCAGGCGAGCTCAAATTGTGGGAAACGCGACCCTCACGTTTTGGATCCGACCCTCGCGTTTGGGAAATTCGACCCTCGCGTTTCAGACACCGACCCTCGCGTTTGGGACACCGACCCTCGCGTCCAAGCTCTGACGTCCGCGTTTTGGCGCTCCGACGTCCGCGTCTTCGCGTGGCTGGCGACAGGCTGTCGCCAGCCTGTCATGTTTGCTTATATAAACCCCTCGTCGCCCTAGGGTTTTGTTGTTGCTTCTCCTCCTCTGATTTCTCTCTGGCGGCGGCACCAAAATAACGCAGCAGCGTTCCTCTTCTCCAAACCTTAAAATCGTAGCAGCGATTTTGGTTCTTCATCTCCAGCTCTCAACCGTGCATTGAGGGGAGATTAAGAAAGGACTTTAGAGAGAGAGAGAGAATTGAAAGGGTTTATTCCCTTTAATTATTAACATTGTAGCTACAGTGTTCATCTTTGAGAAATCTCAGTTTTGGGATTTACTCTTGATTTGTAATTTCTTGTTTGATTAATAAGAAATTGACTGTGTGGCTCCCGAGGACGTAGGCAGTTGCCGAACCTCGTAAATCTTGGTGTACTTTTTCTATTCTGCGTTTCTGTTGCATTAGGGATTTAGGCGTTAAATTCCCAACATAAAAATCCTATAATAATGATCAGTAGATATAAGATCTTTATATTGCATTTACATTAACATAAACGAACTATTCATTGCTTGCACAAATTTAGTAAGAATTACTATGAGTTGAGCATCTAGATATTTTTCTTCGCTGAATTTCGTTAATTCTTATAGTTCAGGTTGTTAACGGAAAAAAAATCTGAGTATTGAAGATTTATGTTGATAATTGTCAGTAATTTTATACGAGTTAGAAGTTTCTCTCTTTATTTAATAGAAAACTGAGTTGACCCATAAAATTAAACCCCAAAAGATACGCAGTGCAAAATTTACTGCTTCAAAAAGGCAATTTCATGGTATGTCATGTATAAAGTCTGAAAATGTTTGCAAGAAATTTCAGGTTCAAATTGCTTGCACATTCATTTAGAGTCCAAAAAGAGTCATTTCTTTGAATATTTGAGAATGTTGTCTCGTGAACTTACTGACTCTTGCAGGAGTGAACTTCATGTAACTCACAATTTCTATAACAAATCATTAGCTTGTTGGATTCTTATGGCCCATTATTCCATGGCACCTGTCAACATATTCTTGGCACTTGAGACTAGAGAACAAAAGTGTGGATTATCGCTTGATATTGTACTTGTTGATGTGTGAATAGAGATAAGCATATGCATCCCCAACACACAATTGTTTCGATAAACTATAATGAAAGGGATGATTAAATATAACCATCACAGGACCAAGTAATATCAAAATTTCTGTAGTTATCATTCTCACGCTTCTAAGTTTTTGTTCTGCCTTAACACTCAACAGTGAACTAGCCGCTGGTATGCAGATTCTCATGGCACTGTTTGGCAAAGGGTTAAGGAAGAGGGATTAAGGAGAATGGTTAACTTAGTTAATCCATTGTGAAGGGTTAAAAATATTCTAATTCCGTTTGGATGCGCTAGTTTAGACAAGGGGTTAAGACTTTTGTGTTTGGCAAATAAAGAAGGGATAAGGAGATTAATCTCATTAATTTTTTAAAAAATACCACTTTCGCCCTTACTGAAAATTTATAACTAATTGCCTCATTAATATTTATTTCGCGTTGTTTATCTTCTGATCAATTTCAAAGATTTGAAGCGCTAATATGTAATTCAGTTGAGACACGTGGGATAATTTTTTTTTGAAATAACGCTAAAATGACAATTTGGTATTATTCAATAAATTTCAGAAGGTAAATTAAAATAAATTATCATTTCACTTTATTTCAGCTACTAAAGAGAGATAATGAGCTAACAAAATATTATATGGCTTCTCCTCTATCAATAAACCTGGCAAAAAAATGATTATAAGTTTTGCTCATATAAAATTATAAAATTTGCTCATATAAAGATAGTAAAAAGATATAATTCAACCTCCTTATACTTCAATATTCGACAACTACATATTTCAATTATTCCAAAGCTGTAAAGCAATCCTGTTGCGAAGCTGCTCACCCCTTAAACTTTCATCTGCACCAACCATGTATTGGGGGTCTTCTTCCTCCTCCACCTCATCTTCATCCTCATTCATCTCTAATCCATTGAGCATATTAAAGTATTTATCATTTCCCTGATGCCTTGCAATAAAATTATGAAGAACACAACAAGCTACAACGATTTTGACTTGAGTTTTATAAGGAAATGGAGCAGCAACTTTCAAAATTTTGAATCTTTGCTTTAAAATTCCCTATGTTTTTTTTTCCACTGCATTATGTAGTTGTGCGTGTCTATGATTATATTTGTCTTTAGTATCTCGATAGGCTCTGGTGGTCCTGTTTGCAAAATCTCCAAGATGATAACGTGATCCACGATATGGGGCGATAAATTTTGAAGTATTAGCATATCCTGAGTCAACTAAGTAAAAGTGACCTGCATATTTAAAATTATCTGACTTTAATACCAATTGATTTTTTTTAAAAAAAAGCGAAGGAAAAATATTAAAATTTACCTTCAGGAACATTAAATTTACCATCTTCCAGTGTTGCACGGAGTACTGACATATCAGATGCTGATCCCTCCCATCCAGCAGCCACATAAAGAAAAGTATGATCAAAGGAGCACGCTGCCATTACATTTTGAGATATGAAATTCTTTCGATTACGATACCTGTTGTGTTTTTTTTCTTCACAATTACAGGAATATGAGATCCATCAATTGCTCCCAATGCTTTCTGCAAATATAAAAATGTATAAGGTTCTAATGTATAGAAACATACACACATACATATTAAAAAAGATTTGAAAAAATATATGCATTTAGCTCTACCTTGAAATATGGGAAGAAATTGGGATTCTCTCGAATCTTAGGATGAACGTCTACGTCAGCCGTTGGAAGCTGGATATAATCTTGTTTCAAAGATAAAATAGCATTAAGCACGTTATTATAATGCCTGCTAATAGTCTCTCCTGAATGTTGAAATATCTCAGCTAATACTCGATTTGAAAGGGCATGCGAAATTCCGTAGAGAAATATACAAAGTTGTTCATTGCAGCTTAAATATCTAGTTGGCCTTAAAGCATTCTTCTCAATTAGAACATTTTTAAGCAAAAGAATTGCCTCAGAACTCATTCGAAAACAAGAATATGAACGATCAGGATGTCCAGCCAACATATCTTCTACAAGCATATGACCAGAGAATGGTCTAGTTCGACATGGTCGAGGAACCTGCTTCATCACATTTGATTGATGAATGATGCTCGTAATCATCTCGTTCCACATGTACTCATCCTCATCTTCATCATTCAAAAGCAACGCCTCTATAAGATCATCTTCATCATCAAGTGCTTCAATATCATCAACACTAAGATTGCTTGCAAAATCTTCAAATGAATTCATCTTCAACCAAATTAAAAACGAAAAATTAGACAACTTGTTATAAAGAATGGTAGATATAGCTCAAAAACATTAACTTGATTCATAATCAACACCTAAGAAATTTACTTCGGTGTTAACCAGTTGAACTATATCAATTTTAATATCCAGCATTAACTCACGCCTGTACACACACATGTGAAAAGGTGTCTGCACCAGGAACTTAGTCATTAACTCATTTATTTCACTAATACTAACACCATAACCTGTTATTTCATTAGTAGTGTATGCAAATAACGGTAAATTTAGAGATGGAAAGAGCTCTTGCAGAAGAATAAAACTATCCTTAGTCTTTATGCTTTCAAATTCAGTACATGTACCTAGACTCATATTGCCAGGATTTGACATGCACCAATTCACTTCGGATAATATCAAATATTAAAAAAGGCACCAAATGTTAATCTTGGTGAAACTGTGAAAGCTAGGCTTCAGCAATTCTCTGTGATGAATAAACTCAAGAAGAGAGCTCTTAGGGTAAAGATTTAAATTGAGACTTGCATGTTATCTTAATAGGCCAATGCCATTGTTCTTGGGAACTACAATGCTTATCAACTTGTAGAGTTGTTGCAGGTGATTGCTGAACATTTGTCGGTGGAGGAAGTAGCTGACATAAAGGAGATGTTTTCAAAGATAGATGTAAACAATACCGGGAATATATCATTAGAAGAGCTGAAATTTGGTCTGCACAAGCTTGGCCACCAGATTCCAGATGCTGATGTTAAGATTTTAATGGATGCTATAAGTACCCAACCTGAATGTACCTTTTCCGTTACAGCATTGATACAATGTTTAATGTGTACTCTTCCTTTTTGTTTGATATAAGAATATCATTACTGTTTTTGCAATCTGTGAACAGTATCAAGTGGGACACAACAAATGCACAATGATACAATATGTGAACAGTATCAAGGAGGAAAGGCATACATCATTTCATTCCTGCATCGTTGCTTTTGCTTTAATACATAGCTGGAAATGCACTATAATGCACTATAATATCCATACATAGCTGGAAATGCACTATAATGCAGATTTTGGCCAACATATTTTTGCTTTTGCAGAAGCCATTCCCAAGTTAAATAACTGAATTTGATTACAACTCTACTAACAAGATAGAATATCTTACTCGGTTGTTTGGACAGAAGGAGCTGATTGTGGTGTTTTTTCAACAGGACCCTACATAGGAAAAATGAAATCAATGTTAAAGACAGATCATGACCACAACAATAAACAAATTTTGCTAGACTAATACAAGCATCAACACATTAGTGACAGTGTCAAGGAACTATAGAGGAATTCAGGATGACAAAGAAAGAAAAGTAATAAATATATAATTGCTAAGTAGTAGAGGGATAAACTATGGAATCACTTGACATGCCAGATAAATTCCTCCATGTCAAATAAATATGCTCCAAATCATTCCACAATGCTATATGACCATACAGAATCACGAAAACAGAAAGGGCTACAATTGCTACACAATCAATCTACCAATAGGTTATAATTTTTTCCCTCCCTTTTATTGGGAGGAATATGGTCATTGATAGGT